GACTAAAATATAGTATTTCTATTCATTCTTTTTTATTTTTACATTTTTATTTGTTAGCCATTCTTATATGATAATTAGACTGCGAATTTTTCTGCACTAATGGCATGTACAGATTTGTGAAATACAAGAAAATCTGTATATTTACCTAAAATGTAGGTACAATTTTGGATGATCGAGTAACAGTGCTTATTAAAGATATATAGGAAGGGAAGTAGAGTACTCCTAAGATGGATGAAATGTACATTTGGATTGATTTGGATGGATTTTGAACAGTGAAAGTTCAAAATATAGATGACAGATAAAATATTAAAAAGTTGATGTGACGTTAATCTATCCATCCAAAGTTAACATGTTATGAGCATTAAATAGGCTGTTTAAGATTCCCACACTTTTGTTTAACACATTTTTTTCAAAATGCTTTCTTTCTTAGATAATCAACTATTTTTATAATTTTGAATTTTTGTATCTTCAAACAGTTTTTACAAAGTTGTATCGATTTTTGTGTAGCAGCATTTGAATCAGAAATTGTATTTTCTTGCGCTTTCCTGTTGTTATTGTTATTCTACTATTTATTTTTCTTATTCACAATAGACCACAGATATGTAATCTTCCTTATATTACTTTTCAGGAAGAGATAATGGGCAATGATGTAGATCAGGACTGTGCAGAACAAGCAAATGAATTGCTAGAGGTGAAGTCATTCGATGTCAAACAGGATATCAAGTCTATGAACTCAGTAGTGAATTCAGAACAGTTTCTAGCCAACGAAATAAATATGACTGTTAAAGCAGAACATATGTTAGAAATCGATATGTCTCAATTAGTGGAAGAAAGTGATGAATTTCACAAAGCTGACTTGTCCAACTTAAGGAGTATTCTTATTTCGAAACTACCAGGAATACAAGTCGAACAAGACAAACAAATAAAGGGCGAGATACCAAATGAAATTTCAAAAATGCTCGAATCTCAGCATTTAGACTATACAATAATGTACATACCGGAGGATGACGTTTCCTTGGAACATATGAACACCGAGAACGTACTTCCTTACGAAATAGAAAATACTATTAAATTCGAGGCTGACAAAAAAATTCTTATAGATGATTGCAACGAGGAAATCTTGAATGATTCACAAGATAACGAAGACTTTCTGGATACCGTTTACGATGAAAAATTTGAGAATACACAAGATAGTAAAAAAAACCAAGACAAACAGTCTTGGAAGTCTTCAAACCCGGAAAAGAATTCGAGGGAAAAAATAAACGGACGAAGCAAACGAGAAGTTTCATTAGAATTAAAACCACAGACGGAAGAGAGCGACGACTCCGATTCTGATTACTTTGTTGACCCGAAAGACAACATACTGGGTAGTTTGAACGATACAATTACTAGAATAAAGGAGATAAAACTCGAAGATAATACGATACAGTACCAATGCACCTTGTGTTTACAAAATTATGATAAATTGACTGGTATTCTATTGCATACTATAGATAATCATGTACCGAGCAGTGGGCCATTCTTTTGCGTAGTATGCGAGAAAGATTGCGAGAGTCATAGAGACCTGCGAGCACACGTGAAAACACACACAGGTCAGTTTCCGTATTCATGTTTCATATGCAACAAAGCTTACACGATGAAGAGGTATCTAAAGAGGCATATGGTGTGCCATACAGATTTTCCTAGACATCGGTGTCCGAAGTGTGGTCTCAGATTCAAAGTTAAATCCGAGTTAGAATCGCACATCTCAACGCATATACGTGGCGCGCCTTACGCTTGTAGCCAATGTCCGCGATTATTTAATCACAAGGGCAATTACAAGCGACATCTGATTAGTCATTTGGACCCGCAAGGTCTTCATCTGCCTAAATATCCTTGTAAAGTTTGTGGGAAGAGATTCCTGAATAATCGCACTTTGGATACGCATATGCGTGTTCATACAGGTGAAAAGCCGTTCAAATGTGATGTCTGTGGGAGGTCGTTTTCGCAGCAAGGCAACTTATTGAATCATGTGAGAATTCATTCGAATCCGCGAAGTTATACGTGTGAGGTCTGTGGGAAACGATTCAATCAAAGAGCCACATTAAGGGATCATAGCCTTCTCCATACAGGAGAAAAACCGTACGTTTGTAACGTCTGTGGAATTGCGTTTACCTTCAGTGCAGCATTGAGACGTCATATGTGGACTCACACTGGTGGGAAACCGTTTGGATGTGAAATTTGTGATGCTCGTTTTGTGGGTAAATACGATTTAAGACGTCACATGAGGATACATACTGATAGGCCTAGAACAAAACGGAGGAAAAACACGATTAGAGTGGATGATGATGAAGACAAGGGCAATGAGGAGAACATTGCGATCTCTGAGCATCCTGACACAGAGACAGTCTTAATTGAACAGGTCTTCCTGACTCAGGATGTCACACAAGTTGTACGTCAACAAGAATCTGAGAAAGAAAATGTTGATGCTCTTTTTAACCTTATACAATATGGTTAATAATAGCAGTCCTTGTATCTCTTATCATATGCACACACCAGCACTGGTTTTTATTTATAAACGATTTTTGATAATCACGTCAATTAGACCGGTAATCGCCTGAAAAATATGAATAGAATACCGGTTAGTATCCTCAATCTACAGACGCTATATTGATGTTTTCAATTATTACATTACCAACAAGTGTGTGCGGTATAAGAAGTATCGGGAAAGATTCTTATTAGGTAATAAGAGACACGTGTACTTCTATTTCAGTTAGAATGTCAATTTAAATATATAACACAACTAAGGATATTCGTTCTGATTATCTAGAATGATTCGAGTTACTTTCTCAACTTCAAAACCATTGCAAAACTGTTGGCTTTTTTCAGATGTAGGAATGGTCGCATGTGGACTAATAGAAAAGTATTTCTGCAAAATAATATTCACACACACTTGCATATTATACATCGAAGAAATTCCAAAACAGACTTGGAAAAGTACTTACTCGATATAACTGATCATAAGATTCAATAGAACCAAACGTATTATAGAACAGTATCAATGTGCAGAAACTTCTGCTTAGTTAATAACGTATACAATAAGAAAGTGAAAATACAGCAATGCCTCAATAAATTAACAAATCTAGCCCGAAATGAACGGAAATTATAAGCCATCGAGTCGCTTGTAGCTACATAGTCATCCTTTTTTACTGCAGGATGGAACCTAATATTCATCAAGAATGGAAAATCAGATATACTCAAAGTAACTGGGAAACAGTAGTATTGTACATAATGATAGATTTCTTAGAAATTTCTATGACAATAGAATAGTGCTATATGCGGTATAAAAGTTTATTTCTAATGCGAACTTACACGATCAATTATGTGTTGTATTAAGTTACAGCATTCGCTGTTTAACTAATAACATTAAAATATTTGAACATTATCACCTTTACGAATAGACTGCAGATATTTATGCAAAATAAACATGTTTGAAACATGTATTTCACTTACCTATTTTTGCTATAAATGCATAAAACCCGCAATCTATTTATGAATCCTGTTATTCTGTTATTGAATATTTTATAAAATTCTAATGAAAAGTACGGAAATATTTTTGAAATTTAGAGGATTCGGCTTTTTATTTCCGAATAGCAACTATTACCGTCCGAGCAATGTTTTTTAGTTCCATAGTTTGCTGTTTGTAAATAAAGCATCAATGAAAAATTCAATCAATATTGTTTATTATATTTTGATCAAATTATTACGGATAGATTATTAGTTCCTTAGATTAGAACCAGTTCATACAGGCTGCGTTGCAAACTGTTTTCAATTCATCATTTTAATTACTATTAAATAATTGTACATTGCGTGTAATTAATAGTTGTTTAAACAACGACGCGTTTGATCTGATCTCTGGATAAGGATAAGGACCGAAAACGCTTGCCACATTCACAGGAACCGCACACGCCCATCCAGAATTGCGATCGGCTCCTCGAAAATCCGTTCCATCTCATTCCAAACAGGTACCACGCACCTTCCGCACAGAGGACATTCTACCTAATAATAACTAATGACTAATACATAATAATGTATTATTGGTCAACAGACAAAAGGGAATCAGGGTCAGGAGCAGCGTTGCTAGTACGAACCCCTGCCCTTCCCCGTCGCGCCGGCATGTGTCCGCTTCCCCACTTCTCCCGTCGAGACCATCTTATCGGACTACCGGGCGGTTGTAGTTCTTTTCTACTACGCGACGCGGCTTTCTAGGTGCATCACTTCACGGCCTTACGTGAAGAATCGGTTCTGTACGGGCACCCGTTGCAGTCCCGGCGGGAAAAGTGGGAGAAGCGACGGGCCTCTCAGCGCGGCATATGTTAGCAATACGGGAAAGGGCAAGGTGTTGAAAGTCGATGGTACGCTATCCCGTGGCATCCCTGATCGGGAGACCACACATCATAAACCAGCCGGGCGGAATCTTTGCAAAAGTGATGAGCCTCGAGTGTAATAATCTTTTAATAAAACTTTGATCAAAATATCGAAGAAATTTTGAAGTCTATTCGGAATTTATTCGAGATAGATGCGTTCGACTTTTATGAGGCATTACTGTACGAAATAATGTTTTTAAGTACGTATGCGATTTTATCGGATTTTAATCTCTAATGAAAGACTAAATGCGATAGAACATATGATGATATTGTACAAGTCACATATCTCCATCTGCAATCAGATGAAAATTTATGAATAATTTTGTATGCGTGCCTCTAATTCATTCTTAATTTGAAGTGAAGTGAATCTTATGAAAAATTGTAAAGCCAGATTTTATAGATATTTATTTTTAGTTAAATGAAAAGTGTATACTAATTTCCCTTTTTTGCTTTCATTCTCAATTATTTTACAGTACATGTAAGTGTTTTAGATAAATTTAATAATTTCAAAATTTTCAATTGCGCAGTACCTGATGTTTGTAATTTGCATATTTTTTTACGACTTTGTAAAAATTGAACTGTGTAATCAATTTATAAATACATTTTGTCGCAATATATTTCAGTAGAACACTCTACGTAAACATAAGTCATTTGTCGAATGAGTGGAACGGGGAACTTCTAGAAGGCGTTAATTAATTAAAAAGACGAAAGTAAATGATAATGTAAAACGCGATAATGAAAACTATTTATATTATATAATACTTATTTAAGTATAAATAGTAACAAATAAGTGAAATACCATAAATTATAATGTAAAAGTATATAAATTAATTCTTTAATAATAATTAAGTTATACATGTCCATAATTGATTCCTTTTCTTGTCAAATAAAATAAATGTTTTATACCGGCAAATTACAATAAAGAATTATTATGCGAACAATATGTGATTGTATGAAGGCAATTTGTTTTAAGCTACACTTCTAATAACAAATTATCGTACATCATACAAATTTGCACTACATTTCTTTTGCGAAGTCCAAGAAACTCAAAAGCTATCAAATGATTGATTTCATATTTGAAAGCATACATTTTAAAATACAGCATATCACAGGTATACCAGTCCATCAATACTTCAATATTTTAATAGTTTAGGACAAATCTATAATAACGAGTCATTCCACACTTGTATATAATACAAGGTTGAGTGAATAAATGTTGTGTGAGATCATATACATAGAATTGTTATCTTAATTTCTTTAAAAACGAGGAAATGCCGATTTTCGAGTGATCCATTTATGTAATAACAACTTTGAATATTTCTAAAATTTTATCAGCAATCTGCTTGTTTATTTCTTTGGCACTGGTAAGTGTAAACTGTATCATATAAAAAAGTTACAAAAACGGCCACGAGCTTTATTCGTAGTTAACTATTGTTACTATTAGTGTTATTGTACTATTATTGTGGTAATACCACCACGAATATTATTACAAACAGTGAACATTATTTTTATAATTTTTAAACTGTGAATATTAATTAATATTAATTAAGTGGCTAGAGTGTTAATTTTCGTTAAATAGTAGTGATTGTGAAAAGTAATAGTAAAATTAATTGATATGGCGACCAAAAGCCGTTACTTTAATTATGGAACTGCGACTGGATGTGTTAAAGGATTTGGAAACGTTACTAACGATAACAGTTGCTGCAAAATATCTTTTATCCACATGGACACTTCGCAAAAAAAACATTAAAGTTTAAGAAACCCCACCAACGTTTATATAAGATTATATGGATCAACGTTCATGAATAATATAAAAAATACAATATAAAATCTTGCAATAACGTTTAAATCCAAAAAACATTTGGATTAATTAAAATTTATTTCTAGATTCGTACATGAATTATTTCGAAACCATGTGTACACAACAATTTCAATTAGAACAAGGATAAATTATTAGATATTAATTGGGAACATAAAATGTTACCGAAGGATCCACAGGAGATGATTTGGAAATTATGTATTTGTCACCGAATACAACATGCATAATGCAACCTATGGACTAAGGGATGATAAAGAAAACTAAAAGTTGTTTAATTGTTGTGTAACATTGGAGTAGTGGAAAACAAAATGATATATCAAACACGATCTTTATGCAATATATGAGGTATGTTTTATTATTTAATTTTATTAATCAACGCAGGGACTTGTTTGTGGGAAATAATTAAGATACCCCTTTTGCCAACATTACTTTAATGATGCTATTACTTATTTATATGTTCATCTATCGAGGGTAGAACAGCGATTGACTACAGCTACAGTCAAAATATTAGCCAACAGTTCTCCAGTTATAGAATTTTTATATTAATAAAATTTATAATTAATATGTACCTATAATTAATTGCATAATTAATTACAATTATGGTAATTATTTGAAAGAGAGGTCTCAATGACCTTGAAATATGTTGTCAAGGTTATCGTTTTGAATAACTTTTTCCCATATTTTGCGAGAAATTGCCACAGAATTTTTAATATATTTAATTATTTGCACTTATTTTAAAAGATGCAAATAATCTCTCGCGTTACCTAGTGTGATGTAATTTCGTTGCAGAGCCTTGGAAATTCTGAATTAACTGTAGCTGCTTACTGTCTATCAGAAAAGTATGTCTATCTGATCCTATTAAATGTAAACTGACTATGCAAGTTTATAGCAAACATGTTTCTTCCGCTGCGATCGCAGCTAGTTTTATTCGTGCCATGAATTCTAGTAAAATGCAAATGACGGCATTGATCTTTGAAACCCTGAATGACTTGTTTGAATTGAAACAGTAAGGTTATACACGACCCCAATCCAAATAAGTGTGCTTTGTCTGCTTCATCAAATTACATTACAAGTAATCTGGTGAAGCGGTTGTGAATTGTAGCAACGAGTCAGATTCGTGATATTCAATTTTGGCACAAAATTTTCATCACGAGTCAGGCTCGTGAAAGTAGTGCAAGGGGTTCATTCCACAAGCAGTGTAAAATGGATTCGACTTAGAAAGTCTTGCAATTCGACAATCTAGTTTTTCATCTGTTTTTCGCGGTCTGCCAGTTAGCAGTGCCGTTTTAACAGTTCCATATTCATCGAATCGTTTTATAATTTTGGCGATAAGTCGCTCTTTTAACAATAAAGCAGAATTAATGGAAACAATCACGAAAATATAGTCAGAAATACCGACTGAGTTTTGTGTTCGATTAATTGAATTCATGCCACACAGATGCAATGCAGTCCTCAAATCCAAGGGTTATCCAACATCTTATTAGACTGTTATAAAAACTACAGACATTGACACATCGCTGTTTTCCATTAAAAGTGATTATATAACTTAACTTATGTCGCGCAGCTTTTGCCTCATTTCTTCGATTCAATTTAATTATGGCTCTCGTTTAAGTATGTTTGAGAAAAAACTCATTGATCATTGATGTATGGGATGCTATCTCATTATGCTATGTTTTGTTCCAACCTATGTATCTTAGAGGATAAAGAATGTATACCGAAATGTATCAAACGATTAAGTTGTTTCTTCACTTTTGTCAGTAAGTGTATATGCAAAAAGTGAATGTCCTGCGTGTTTGGAATTTTTTCTACATTCGAGTCACAATGATCAAATATTAATTTAGTTTCGTGCATATATATTGGACAACAATATTCACTTTGGAAACTTATTAGATCCTATAGTCGAAATTGTATAATATATATCTGACAAATCTTTTGACAAATGTCACCCTCACTTTAATTAATACATTTTATTTAGGATACTGTATTTAGAATACTTACCCAACAATCGTGTTCTTGGCCCCTAAAAGTATATATATATATATATATATATATATATATATATATATATATATATATATAATAT